CCTGTATTCTCCACTGAGTGCTCGATGTTGCCTGTATTAGTGATGGCTCCCTGAGTGCTCATCTCAAAGATTTCCTTCTCACCATGCTCCTATTTTTGCTTGACCTTGCAGAGGCATATTTGTAAGAGGATGTTGTTGTTAAGATGTTCTGAACTGAATGGCTGTGATAATGTATACAGACTGCCCAGCTCAGATCACACATTAGATGGTATAATTACTGCTCTTGTCCATTTTACTGCTATTTAATGATTTGTATTATGTTCGCTCTTGGAAGCACAAAACAAGGGGGCCCCAATGCACAGCGTGCTGAGTGTGCATCTACACAAGGTCTGGGGAGGGAAGGTGCTGCTTTCAAATAGACAAAGGACACACTAGGTCAAAGGAAGGAATACAAGTACTGTTGTATCTGAGACCCCATGGTTGGTCAGTGCCAGAGCTGGGAATAGTAACTTCATGATTTAGGATGGTGAGTTTCTCCTATTAGCAGTGACGTTTCTTTACCCAGCTGAGTGGTAGCAGATCCTCAGCTGGCTTACGAGTATGTGTGTGTTATACACATACCTATGCAGCACATAGAAATGAGATGCAAGGAGGCTTTCAGAAACATGGAGTTTCTAAGCCTTGCTCACTGCTGAGAAATCTGTTGCTGCTTGTGCCATCCTGCCACTTCTGTGCTTTCCTCTCAGATCTCCATTCATGTTTTCTCTCACCCCATGCCTTGGAAAAAGAAATAAGTGTTTATTTGGGGCAGCTGACCTATTCCATGTGGCAGTGTCCCCCTCGCAGTGACACTTAATAAAGCATACCAAAGTGTGAAGTGAAACTCTGAAGTCCTCATCATGCTGATGGTGACTGATTTTACATCACCTTGGTTTGTCCATGTAATATACATGGGTTAGAAAAGATGTTCAATTGAAAAGGGAAATGTTTATTAAAATAAACAGATCTACTGATGTCTATTAAGTTATTTTGTAATTTCTAAGCAGTTCCAAACAAGCTCTTCTTTTCCCAGGGCCCTCGTGAAAATGAAGCCCGTAGTCTAACTAGCAGAGAGTAATGTGTTGTTCGCTGTTTCTTTCTTGCCTTTTTTACAGCTGTTTTACACTAGCTCTTCATGTTTGATCAAAGATTCATGTACCACTCGGGTTATTCTACTTAGAAGTCTAGTGATCAGCAAGCGCCTTCTGGGACAATGGAATTCAAACACGTCATGTATACCAGTGGTGTGTTGATAACTTCCCAATGATGGGACTCATGAAATATTTAAAGAGCAAAATGTTTTAGGTCAGGTACACACCGACGATAAGTATGTACTGTGCTCTAAATTAGGAGAATGATTATGGTACCAGTCAAAGGCAATGAACATCTTCATATAGGAGAATTTTTTTCTGCCCTGAGTCTCTGCATCTAATTTGGGTGTTTTGCTTCTTTATGCTGCACTGCCAGCATAAACTCATTGGATGAAACATTACTGGAGCTGGAATTCACAGTTGTTCACTCAGAAACTGCACGAGGCTTTTCCTTCCAATGATGTATTTTGGATATTAAAGGAGGGATTTGTGGTACAGTCTGTACAACAGCTTCAGTTAGAACACATGCTTCCTGTTTGTGAACTCTGATGGATGTCATAGCAGTGCAAAATGTCCCATATGGATCCTCTTCAGTCTAACCTTCACCTTAAGTCTATGAAATTCATTGCTAGTAGTTACTGTGCCCTCTGGTTAAGAGACAAGGATGAATGTTAATGAAAAACAAAGATTGATTTTGTTATAGCCAAAATATATGAACAGGTTAAGCTGTGATGTGTAAAACTTGAGTAGAAGGCTGAAATCTGGCTCTGGAACAGATGCAGCACAACAGTGAAATAAGAGGCTTTAATAATCACATGAATTTGAAATGAAAGCTGAGGGAAAGAAGTAGCATGAAGCAAAACAATATAATTTTGGGGATTTGGAGAAGCGAGGCTCTGAAGTTCAGTAAGGGCTGTGAAGATTAAGGTAGTAGCTTGAATGTTGTGAAATACAATGAGGGCTGGAGAACTGATTCTGTACTGTTTACTTAAATTGCCTTCATTTTCTTGATGTGCTGGATGAAAGGCATGAAAAAGAGGTATGAAAATAGAATTAAAACCCAAAGGAAATTAGGGGTAATTAATAAAAACTGTTTCAGAAATTCCTTTTCTCCCCTTGTTCATTGCAGAGTATTTAGAGGATCCCATAGCAGCTCAAGGATTTAGATTCCTGACACAAGCTGTAAATGTGTTACTTCCTTAAGTGACAACGTAAAGGAATTTTATGTGGGGCTTTTTCTCTGTTCAGGGTATGCTGGCTACTGATAGCCAAGACTGTACTGGTTCTGTGTTACTGCTATAATTTAATACATGATAAGGGACTCCTTGGATTTTAACCTGGCCAAGTTCTATTTTACAACTGTCACTCATCTCTATTCTAGTGCCTATTTACAAGCCTGAGTCGCAGCAGAAGCATGCAGCCAGCCCTTGTCTGGAGTCTCTCCAATTCTGAACTTTCTTCTTGTGTGAGGAGAAATAGTTGTGGAGTTTCTTGGTGATTTATGCTCAGACATTTTTCATCTAGGAACTCTTGAGAATTGTTTTAGCACTCTCACACCTCTCTGACTCATTTTTCTCTGGGAAGTTATTTCTAGAAGGCCAAACTGCAGGGCAGAGATGTATTAGGAGATGGGGGGATGTTAGCTGGTGAAAGGAATAGTAACATTTGTTTCCTGATATAGATAGTGCTTTAACTGTAATTCTTAGCGATAGACCAATTTTGAATTCTGATGTCTTCTATTCTCTAGAGGATGAGAGATCCAGTTCTGTAAATCATAGCAAAAAATGTGGTATCTTTATTGTGTCCTTTTAAAGTTTTCTTATGTGCTCTAGGACTTCAGTGAACTGAGGCTTTAGTGTCGGGCTCACATCTCCTGTCTACTACATTAGAAGATGACGGACAAGATGTTTGTGTGCCAAAAGATTACTTGGTGGTTTAGAGACAAGACAGACATTTTATTGCTGAAATGTGTTCTCTGGGATGTACGTCCAGAAAAGAATTTACTAGAAAGTGCTTTGTAGTCTGACTAAAAATTATGAAGTATGCAGGGCCCTATTGTGTATAGAACTCATCCTGATGGAAAAAGTACTCAGAGAAGAAATAGCCTTCTATAATGTAATTACTTCTGTTTGACCCCAGAGATGCAAAGCTCACTGGCTTCACCCTTGTTTAATTTAGTTGTGGGGTAGAGACTGTATAGACCTGAAACCCATTTTTATCAAGGCTATTATTCTGATAGAGAATCTTCCTGACTCTTTGTAATGCTGAAATAGAATAAAGGAGCCTCGGTAGAAATGAAAGTTAAAGCTTTGGCAGTGCATGTTTCTGCTATACATTACATTGAAGGTATACATTTTTTTCTAAGTTCCTTCTATTAGCAATAAGGATTATACACAAGCAATAGTGAGCAGAAAACTGGAAGCACAGATTTTAGACACACGTCCACCACTCTTTATCCAAACCTGAGGTGCAACAATTTTGTGTTGGCTGGTTTATGAGTTGACATTAATCCTTTGTCACTGTAAGTATTGACAACTTGTATGCAGTAAAAGCTAATGATTCTCAACTATTAACACTGAGGTTATAAACAGGAGATTTAAAGTGGGATTCAAATTCTAGTCCATGTCCCAGCCATTACTGGCCTGGAGAGTGACACTGTTTTTAGTTAACCTAATTAGCACACCTTGGAGATTTTGTCTTGGTGCCAGTTCCTTGGAAAATGCGGGTGTCCAACCAGGTCTTTAAACAGAAAATCCACTGAATATCCTGAAAACCCCGGGATTATCATTAACAGAAATGGCATAGTTAAAGCACACTTTCAAACTTCCACTAAATCTTTAGTTTCTTCTCTTCTTTTGACCTCCCAGGAAAACTGATGAAGGGATTCTATACTAATGCTATTGCAACTGATAATGTAAGAGAACGTCTTTATTTTCTGGGAAGCCTGCTGCTGACAATATTCAGAATGGATGAGCCCCATGCTTCAGATCAATAGGTATTTTCTTTTAGTGCTGATTTAGCTTTGACTGGAAAGGAAAGCACTTAACTCAGGCGTGGAGAATTTGTAAGTGTGTATATATGTATTCATGGAGATGGCAGTTAGATGACCCACTTTTCATAATAGTATTGAAATAGTAACGTGTTTCAAGTAAATAGCAAATGCCATCCAAATAGTTACCATAGGAATGATAAAAGGAATTTAATTTCAGTCAATCAAATGAATATTGAGTCAATCCAGTTAATTTCCACAAAGGTATTTACACTCAAATCATACCGGTATTTAATGATATTTGAACACAGATTCTTCTGCAGTTGGCCAACACATTTTTTTCTTCTTAAAGGCATTTATTGAAATGCTTTTAAATAATTTTTCTGAAAATACCACTGTTGAACATGTGCCAATCGCATTGTTACTGTGAGACAGAGTTCAATATTTATTAGTTTTCTACATCTTTATGAAGATAGATAGCCAAGTCAGTGGGAATAGTGTCTAAGAATTAAGAATTCTTAGAAAAACTTACAGCCTGACCTCATTTTGTTGGAGGAAGTGGCTCAATTAACAGTTGAGTCCTCCTTGTATTCTCAAGCATTAGAAAACAAGAAGTTTTCATCTGTCATGTACAGATGAGGACAAATTCCAATTGATTTGTTCTGACCTTCCTGGAAATTTCCTGTATGATCTTGGTTAGGCTTCTGTTCTTAAGCTTGCATACTCATCTTCCTTGTGAAATATCCTATTTAGGATAAAGGCAGTGACTGCCAGTAGAATGCATTAGAGATGGCAAGAAGATGGATTTACCTTGTATGGTGTTTTTGCTTCACTAACCCAAATTATTCCACTATTGCATCATTTAGCAATTTTAAGGATCTATTACCAAAGCTTCACAAAAAGAAAAGGACTGAAATGGAGTGGCTGTGTGATGTGTTTATTTCAGAAGAAAAAAAAAAAATCAAAGATGGTGCTTCAAGTATAGTTTTTAGCACAGTTGGTCCAAAACTCTGGTGCTCTCTTATACTGATTACTCTTCTTCATTGTCTTGATTATTCTGATCCATGTCAAAGGTTGAACTTCATTAGAACCTAAAAATAGTAAGATCCGAGTCTGCAGTCTGGCAGCCAGAGTCTGGTACTCAGTAGGCTGTTCACAAAGCTCTTTCTCAACAGTGACTCATGCTCTACATTTTTAAGGGCAAAGGGTCTGTGTTCATGGAATTAACCCAGTCAGCTACAACTGCAGCAATTACAGTCTAAAGTCAAGGTCTTGCATTTTCCAGGTTCTGCAGTAGCGTCCAGTACTGCAGGGTTATGCAAATGAGCAGTGGGGCCTGGCTTGCATTTAGATTAAGCTAATAAAAACCCAGCAGTAAGCATGGAATTTGATATAGTTTGGAGATTTTGTTTTTTCCTTCCCCTCCATCTTGTTTTTAATAGAATAGCTCCAAGCCCCTTAGAACCAGAAGCTGTGTTACACTGAAACCCACCTGGCAGAGCTACAGTTTTCTGTTCTGTATTTCCAGATTCCTAAAAGGGCCAAGTTCTACCCTGGTACCAGTCCTTTAATGGTCTCATATGATGATGAATCTATGCCTGCAAAGTTGATGACCTCATTTCCTCTGAATTACTTCAGCTGTTGATGCTGGTTCTGTTTATAAGCATTGAGCAACTATTGAGGAGCCTCATCTCACCCGAAAGACCAGAAACGTAGCTCTTCATGAATTATCTTTATCTTTCATTAACTCCATCAAACTTCTTTGAGAAATGACAGCTAGAAGGTAGGGCCACTTGGAGGAGTGTCCCTGAAGACACAACAAGGGATAAAGATATGCTGTTAATCCAGAAAAGGAATAAATTCTGAGTTTCTTTTCCCCTTTGAGTTGGACAGGCAGTGAGAAAGACACAGGCTTGCTGAAGTATCACAACACATTACTGTACTCCTTTAAAAATAGTGAGTTCTGCTAATGGTTGCTACTAATGACAAATATTTATTTCCACTTAAAAAGGAATGCCATTGCTGCTGTCTTCAGAATGTCCTTGAGTATGTTTTGAGTGTGACTTTAATCATATGTCGTTTTAACTCTAGTCCTATTCTGCAAATCTCTAGTGAAATTCTATTAATTTTCAATTAAACTTCAAGTAAACCAATTAGCATTTTCATTTCTATAGAGCAACAAAGGCAGAATCTGTAATGAGTCTATCCAGTTGTTCACAGAGGAATAAATGGTCTGGATAGATTTCTCCAGTGTATCTGTCTGTGAAACTTTGTCAAGTATATTACCTTTATCATTTTCTCCTCTGCTTTAGGCTCCAAATTGGATTTCTTGTGGTATACAAACTGTATTCAGCCACTTTTTTCCTTAAGCTGTATTCCAGTATTCTTTCTCTCTTCATTGCAAATTTCTAATATTGCTTTAGTGTGTTTTAAATGGTGTCTAGGTGAGGCAGGCACTGGAAAACCCTTCAGGACCTCAGTTTAAGGTGGCAGCAGAAGGAATTCTTCCTTTTCATTCTAAATATGTGAATAAAAGTGTCTGAATTATCACAGCTGGAAGCAGGCTCAGACCCAGATCATTTCTGTCTCCATCCAGTATTTCATCCTCTCTACCACTTCTTCTTATTGCTACCTCCTCCCCACAGACAGACGTGATCCCAGCTCTGAAGAGCTTCATTATAAAGAATATATAGTCCCTGAGAGGGAATCCTGGAGTTCTTCCAGGGTGGGTATGGTATCATAAACTTTCATCGTTACTTCAAGCTTGCAGCTCTCTGTAGTGGTCTGCCTTTCCTTTAATGTGCTAATCTAACTGCTGGGTGCTGTGGGCCCCTAGCCTCACTTGTGCCAGCTCCAGTGCTTCTCTGACCCTGTGCAGACCTGCTGGAGGTCAGAAAGCTTATCAAAAAGCTAATTACTGTTTGCTTTGGTGGGGTTAGTTTTATGCCAGGTTAGCTGTTTGAAATGGATCCACTTCAGCTGCCATGGAACTGCAGCTCAAAGCAGTGTTGTAGCCAAGCTGTAGTTACGCTTGTCTCATCCAGTGTCCTTTAAAGTATGAGAGAGAGCTAACTCTCCCTGGCTGGGCTTCATACTGAACACGAGCACTCAGCACACTGAGGTTCCCTCCATAGTGCGGAAAGGACTGCGCTCTCTCATGGGTGCTTAGAGCACCTCGGGCAGTCCCTCCTGTGAGATCCCAATGCCAGAGCTCCTTCCACCGAGAGAGGAGGAGCCCAGCCACCTAATTCAAACAGTTTATTTCTGTTTAGAGCAGAAGAGATTCAGCCCAACCAGATACAAACCAGAGAGCCCTGGGCTTGCAGGATCATGAGCAGCTCCAAGCACCAGCCATGAGCCCTGCTCTTTACTACAACGCTGCATGCTGTTGTCCTCTTTGCCAGACCACCGTGGCCTCAGAGAGCCAGCACTGGCTTGTAAACACCTTCCTCTGCTGTTTTCTTATTATTTCCCCGATAATATGAACAAAGTGTGTTATTACTCTCAAAGTGGGTTATTGCTTTCCTCAGCTATTGGAAAGGTGTGAGTACACAACACAGGCTTTCATAATAAAGCTGTTATCTCCAGAAGCTGACACACAACACATTTGCCTCTAATTCAGATGCTTCAAGGTGGTTGCAGTGTTCAGAAGCAGCTGGTGGCTCAAAACAAAGCCCTAATTAAAGATCCCCTGTTTTCCAAAGCCTTCGTACGTTGGGAAGAGAAGAAAGAATCTTGGGTGTCGCTACTGCATATCTGTTGCTTTGGTGTGTCAAGCCAAATACAGTGAGGTTTTTGCACCCACTGTTAGATGTGATAGCTGACAGGATGTGTATATAATGTGTAAACGAGCCTTATTCACCTGAAGAATGCATAAAAGGTTAAGTTACCAGACTTAAATCGGGAAGCCTCGCAGCTGGGGCTGGTTGTAATGCTTGCGAGGAGCAGCCATGGCAGCTGTGCTGGAGGGCAGTGGCTGGGGCAGCCCTTGGCTGGTTTATATGCGGTGAGGGCTAAACTTCTGTGAGCACTCGCTGCTCCTCTGTGGTAGCTGAGGAGCCGGTGCCCTACGCCGGTTGTGCTGCGGAACAGCGGGTGGCAGCACCTGAACAGCAGAGAGGAAGCCTTCAGCCTGAGCCGAGCTTTGCCTCCCCTCCCGGCTGCCCGCAGAGAGAGGTTTCGGGGCCGGTGGGGCAAGGCCGAGCCGGCCCCGGCCGGTTCCCTCACAGCATCACACAAAATGGCCGTCGTATCGGCGTGAGGCGTCGGCGGGGAGGGAGCACATGGCGGGGTTGCCGTGTACCCGGGACTGGGTCCTCACACGAGGTGACACTGGCGAGAGGAGGAGGCAGAAGTGGAGATCCCAGAGGGGAGCACAACGGGTGAGCCAGGTATTTTACTCACACAGCATTTGGCCTTTCCTCATTGCAGCTCATGCAGACTGCCGGAGTTAGGTGGCTCTAGCTTATGGAAACTGGGCAAATCATGTTAAAATAGAGCATGGAATGTGTATGTGTGGACAAGAGGGCTTTTCACAGTATTGTTTTGGTATTTAAGAGGGGAAGATTTGGGAGGAGAAAATCCCAGTTCCTATTCCTATTAACATACTGAAAGAGAAAACGCAGCCAAAAGGTAATCCAGCCAAGAGGTTAGGTGGGTTAGCAATGTGCAGCAATTGCTATCTGTCTCGAAGCTTGAAAAGCAAAATTAAACACGAATAAAAACACTGAAGTCTTTCTGATACCCAAGGGGTGAAGAGGATGTGAAGCAGCCCGTGGTAATAGCGTGTGGGCTCCGGTGTCGGGGAGCCAACAGCCACAGTGATGTTGCACGTGCTGCCGGGGAAAATCTTCCTGAGCAGCACCTATGCTCTGGGGCAGGCATCCAGATGGGATGCGAGTGGGCAACATGGCAATTATGGAGCTGTTCTGGGCGGGTAATGCTGCTGAGCATAGGCAAATTGAATCCATGTCTTGGAGGTTATGTGGGTCTTTTTCCTGGCTCTGCGCATTTCAGTTTTAAGTTATCAATCAGATCACTTTACAATTTCTTTCTACTGTTACCAAAGCCGTTAAGTAACCTGGTGAAGCAAAAGGTAAAATATATTGAGCTAAAGGTTGAGGTTTTATTTGAGGTTACTTTTGCCACAGAACTGTGTTAGTTTGAGTTCAGTCTCTCCAAAGCAAAAGACTCCAGAGTTGCACCGCTATGAATAAGAATAGCATCTTTGAAGAGTTCTATGTAAATCCTTTTTCATTTTCTTTTGACCTTTTTTGATTTTTCAGCAGAAGGGTCTATGCAAGCTTATTAATGCTACAGGTTATAGGATTGATGTTGTGGTGGATGGAAAGCTATTCTCAGTTCTAATTTGCTTTTGGGTCACATTTCTTTCTATGGTACAGGTTAAGCTTGAAAGAAATTGGGATTTCTTTTTGTGTTTTAGTTTCTTCCCCCTACGATTCTGAAGCACTTAACTCGCTTCTGTCTGACAAGTCTTGGTGAAGAACAGAATGCTGTAGTCCATGAACCGAAAGAATGAAAAAACCTTAATATGACTAAGTTTCCCTTATTTTAGTAATAGTAATATATTATGTGATACTATGCTGTGTGATGTGAGAATATGGAAATTGAGCATTATGTGGGAAAACTGGGACAATCCTAAACTGTTCTTGTGCTTACTTTAGGGCTTGGTGCAGGATGCTGTGCTTTGGCTGTAGTAACAATTCATGCTCACTTTGTCCTGCTGTAGGCGTTGACAGAAGGTGCATCGCAGGAGAGGACTGGGCTCTGGGTGGCATTTGCATTTCAGCAGCTGAGCCAACATGCCTTATGTTTTAGATTATCTGTGTAGTGAAGCATTTTAAAATGATGGCCTTGAGCAGCCTAACAGCATTGCTGTGACCTCTGGTATTTGGAGCTATTGATAATAATAATTTGGGAGTCACTTTGTGGTCCCCTGATGAAAGTGAATATGTGATTAGATATTTGAATTAATTATGTTGTACTTGAGTTAACTGAGATGCCAAAAGGCTGAATGAGTCCTCAAGGGACTCACAACAAGTTGGTAGCAGAGCTGAGACTAAAACATAAATGGGCACCTGTCTTAGCCATACACAAAACTGGTAATTGCTTTAATTTTACTTTTTAAGGAGGGGACATGTGTTCCAAAATACAGGCTAGGCAAAATACCAAGCAGTGAGGAAAGAACAGCTTTGCATAAGGAATATTTGCTTTATGTTGTCCTCAGTGGTGTTTCTGTTGCTCGTCTCCCACAGACTGAGAGGTGATGCTTTACAATGGAAAATGTACCATGTGGACCAAGAGCTGAAGAGCCTATAGAAAGCTCCATTTGCAGATCCTTCATTGAAGGTATGTTATTTATATGTGCTTTTGTAAATCAATGTAATTTATGTAATTGAGGCAGCAAATTGGAGAAAACAAGTGACAAACTATTGTAATTATAGAAAATCAGCTAGCTAATTGAAATAACAATCTATCAACAAAATTTATCTATTTAAAGGTTGCATAGAGTAAACTTGTTATAACTCACCACATTACATAGGGTAATTACAAGAGTAATGCTGGTGAAATGTCTTTGTCACCTTTATAAAGGGGAGAACACAAGTGGAAGTCTGAACTCTTAAAGCCCTGTTTTTGGGAGTTGGGTAAAGTTAAGTTTGTGTCATGCTTTTGTTGCTGCAGCTGTAGGCAGAAAGTCTTTGAATATTGGGTGAGACCTTAGAACCAGTGAACTCTTTGGAAAGGAGTTTTTGGTTTGTGGTCCTGTAGGAATTCTTGTGCTGTGAGTTTTAATCAGTTGTGACAAGTGTGTCTTATGTTGATGTACAGTGTTTTTCCCCAGATGTACTTGGAATGCTGTTTTCTGAGCTGCAGTAATCATAGTTTATTATTAAAATTGGTCAGTTATTAATTATTACTGTAATTAATCATTTTGAGTAAATAAGCTCATCATTTGCATTCATGCAGAATTTTTAGTGCTTATGCTTAACACAAGGAGAAAATGAGTGGGAGCAGAGGTAGTTCTGCTTAGCTACAGTTGTTTTTGACATGGTGTGTAATTATGTTTAATTCCATTTAGTACAGTGCAAACGTAGTAAATGAGACTAAGTATAAGCACGACTTCCCTTGTACAAATATCCCAATATTCTGATACAGCTGTGGTAACAGGAATGGCAGAGGTGGAGATTTTACTGTTAGGGGCTTGTGCCGTACTCTTTAAGAACATTAAGCCCATTTGCACAATAAAACTGGCATTACTGATTTAAATGAGGGTGCAAAAGTGAAAGAAGGAACCTGCTACTTTACCCGTGGACTGCATCTCTGCTTGGGAATGCTAGGGAAGAAACACCCTTTGCTGCAGTGTTAACAGAACCTGTACCACTAGTAATGTTCCATGTGAACACCTTGCAAAAAGCTGATGGCATAAATAGCAGAGAAGTAAAAAAAGCATGTGGGGACTTGCCCAGGTTCCCAGCGCTAGAATTGTTGTTACCTTTACAAAGCAAACTGAGACAGTATCAAAGACAATGCCAAGTCTCAGTCACCATGATAAAGCATTTGCACACGTGTTCTTTTTATGAAAAGCAGTATAAAAGAGGGAAGAGATTATGAACTTCAAAGAGCTGCCTTTAAACTAGGAATGTTTACACACAGACCATGTCATTCTTCCTCCACTGAGGGAGAGCAGTTAGGAGGAATTCAGCAGGTAGCTTGGAATAAGGCAGCAGTGGATCACATAGAAGTGTAAAGATAGCTCCAGACTGTTGTTCAGCCCCAGTCTACCTGTAATATAGGTGCCTTTGGAGCCTTTAGAAAGGCAAAAAAGAAGTGTGTGTGGTTTTTTGGTTGTGGGTGGGACAGTCCATTCTAGATGTTTTACCTGCAAGAAGCAGGTTAAATACATTCATAATAGTGTTCTGCTAAGCGGCTTTCCTCATCGCTTCAAAGATTCTTGGAATTGTTTTGGGGGAAGGGGTGGAGGTGAACTGGTTTTGGTCACTGAATGTGCTAGAGGGTGACAGATTTAGGCAAGTTCTTTTCTGTACTTCTGCGAACATTTGGGTAAAGCAAACACTATCAAAATACAGAGCCCTAGGGAAATGAAAACCAAAGTGAAATATAGCATACTTTAACTTTTTCAATGGAAACAGAACTAGGCCACTACCCAACACTTTTGCATGTGATTTTTTATTTAAGATTTCTGAGCTAATTTTACTGACCTTTTTCAGTATCTCATAAGCAGTTCCATTTCAGTCAGTAGTAGAATCTGGACATTTAAATTTTTTTTCTGATCTATTTCTTAGTCTTTATACATTTACATCATAATTCTCTTTGTCCTTGTATTTAGTACATGCAAAGTTGTCAGGAAAATATTTGAACCTTATGAGTGATGCTTTGTTACACTGGCACAGTTTGGCTTGTTCTTCCTCTCTGTGATAAGATTCATAGTTAGACCACAAAAAAGTTTCCATGTGTTTATTTTACCCTCACTATTTTTGATATGTATCTGCAGAGGGAAATGGGCAGTGTGTAGCCATTTAGTATAGGCTGAATCTTCTTTTAGTAAGAGTTATGCAAACACATTTAACTTGTTTACTGAACAAACATATATTCACAAAGCTTTGAGTTACACTGTTGACTTCTACTACAGTGTAGAGATGAACACAGGGCTAAAAGTGGGAGAATGATAAAAAGGGATTATAGAAGAGCTGTATTTTCTTTAAAGAGCAAAGCTATTTTACCCTTGGCCACAAACCCCTTCTTTCTTGGTAATATATATTTAGAAAGATTTAAGAATACTTCAGCATTTTAGTTGTATACTGCAGGATTTCTGAAGCTGTGCACTTTCTGTAGAGGCTCGAATAAATGAAATACTATCTTAGTACAATAATGGAGGACAATACTTATCTAAGCAACTCTTAATCTTAAATGTACTTACTCTGACAACACCTCTGTGAGT